ATATTTGCTTCACGTATTTTGGAACACTTTCATTTGGATGCGTAAATATTTATTATTATAACGTCTTCTTCGCCAATTGACCCTTTCAGCATCATATAATGTCCCTCCTTATCTCTTACGATGTTTTTCACCTTAATGTCTATTTTATCAGAAATCAATATTGCTACTCCTGCCCTTTTTTGGTTTCCATTGGCTTGGTATATTCTTTTCCATCCCTTAACTCTTCATTTGTTTTTATCTTTGTGTCTAAGGTGGGTCTCTTGTAGGCAGCATATCAATGGGTCTTCTTTTCTTATCCAGTCTGCCACTCTCTTTCTCTTGATAGGTGCATTTAGTCCATTCACATTGAGTGTAAATAGTGATAGGTATGAATTAATTGCTGTCATTCTATTGTGTTTTTTTGTCGTGTTGTTTGTGTTTCTTTGGTCCTTATGCTTTCTCGTGCTGAGTTCATTTTGTTGGCTAATGCTTTTCCCTTTTCTTCTGTATAGTTGGTTTTGTGCTTATTAAATCTATATGTTTTCCTTCTGTCTGGATTTGCTTAAAAGGATTGTTATTTTTCTCTGTGGTTACCTTGGAGTATATGCTTGTCTGTACATTTTTAGAACAGTGCATTCTGCGAAGACATTGTCGTGTTTTCCTCTCCATTTGAGGGTCTGTGCCTAGAAGTTTTATTCCCTCTGATAGGTTAGTTGCTGTTGTTGTGTGCTGATTGAGTTCCTTAGTTTTTAAGGTATAATGCTTTATGGTCTTATTTTGAGTATTGATTTCTGATTTGGTTTTAGTGTTGATGCCACATATCCTGGTTTTGTTGATCTCTGTTGTGAGTTCTCTATTGGAAGGACTTCCTTAAGCATTTCTTATAGGGTTGGTCTGGTTTTCACAAAATCCATTAATTTCTGTTTGTCTGAGAATGCCTTGATTTTGCCCTCATTTTTGATGGATAATTTGGCTGGATATAGGATTCTTTATTGGAAGTTCTTTTCCTTCAGTGTTTTATATATGCCATCCCATTGCCTTCTTGCCTGCGTGGTTTCTGCTGAGTAATCGGAGCTCAGCCTAACTATTTGATTATTATAAGTAATATTTCTTTTTTCTTGGGCACCTCTCAAAAGTTTTTCTTTGTCTTTGGTTTTGGAAAGTTTGATTATAATATGCCTTGGTGTTTTCCCCTTGGGATCTATCTTGTGTGGGGTTCTATGAGCTTCTTGGACAAATATCTTCTCTTTCTTCATGATATGGGGGAAGAAGTTTACTGTTAGCAGATCTTCCACAATTTTCTCAGTGGTCTTTTTCACCTCCTCTTGTTCTGGAATTCCAGTGGGTCTTATATTATTTTTCCTCATGTCATTGCATACTATTCTTAGGTTCTCTTCATTTCTCTTAAATCTTTGTTCTGATTTTTCTTCATACAGGCTAGTGTCCAGGGATTTGTTTTCTAGTTGGGATATGTGTTCTTCTTCAGCCAGTTCTAACCTACTCTTTTGTGCTTCTACTGTGTTGTGTAATTCTTTCATTTTGATACTCATCTTCTGCATTTCTAACTGCTGTTTTTGTATAAGTTCTGATTGTGCATTAATCTTGTTATTCTGTTCCTGAATGATTCTCCTGAGTTCCTCCAGGGAACTGTCTGTGTTCTCCTTATTTCTGTTTGGGGTTTCCTTAGGTCTTGTATAGCTTTATAAACATATCTTTTAAATTCCTTCTCAGATAATTCTATTGCCTCTTCTTCTTCCATGTATAATGAGACCTTTGTTTGTGGTTTTGCTTCTAATGCCTTGTCCTGTTTTTGTTTTTTTTTTTTTTTGGTTTGATTTGAGGGTGACTGTTGTTTCCTAGACATTTGAGGTTGTCTTTAACTGTTGGTAATGTGTTGATTTGTTTTGTCTTAGTTTTATGGCTTAATATTTTGAAAAGGTGAAGCTAGTGTTTTTATTTTATTTTATATAGTTATTAATTCAGGTGTGCTCGGTCACTCTGCAGTTTTCTTTTTGATGGAATCACTGTTTGGAATATGGATATGGGTTTCTGTTTGTCATAAAGAGGGTTTAGAGTTCGAACCGGGAGGTTTTATGTTGGCTGAATGTGGTTTCTTCTATGGGATGAGTGAAGTTATTGGCGGAGAAGGTGAAAGAGGAAAAAGGAAAGCTTGCTGTTGCTAGGGGCGGTTTCTAAGGCTTTGAGTGGGCTGCAATGAAATCGTACTGTTATTTACAGGCCCGCGGCTCAATTTCGGGAAAGACTCCAGTTGTTAGGGGGTTGCCACTTTCCACACGCTCACACTCAGAAACCCCGCTCCCGATGCCCCTCGGTGCCAAAAAGCCTACCCAAGGCAACTTCCCAGCTCTGTGTTCCCCTGCGGGTGTTTCTGTCTCTGGCCCGCTTGCCCACAGTGCCAGCCCAACCTACCCAGACCACGATCATCTTGGGAGTTTGTCTGTGAGTCCGCCCACCAGTGGCGCCAAAGGTGTGCTCGGTTTCAGCTGCGCTGGGGTCGGGAGAGTGCCTGCTAGTAATCTGTGGTCCCAATATTAGTGATAAAGTCAAGCGCAGACCTCTCAGTGTCACTAAGCTGACTCAAGCCTATTCAATGACCTGAGGGGGGAGCGAGCCCACCCTCTTGGAGTATCAGTGTACTCTCTGCTCAGGTTTCAGTGGTGCTGGATGTGCCCGTTTGCACCTAGTCAACCCAAGTTACCAATAAAATCAGGTGCTGAAGGTAAATCCTTGGGGTGATCACTAGTATACTGGTGTGGTTGCTGATATGCTGATATGGAGTGTCTTCTGCCTTGACCCAGGGAGGTCTCGGATGGCTGTTCTCACCTGCCAGTTGCTCTCCCCAGGTCTTTAATGGCCTTTCTTGGCTGCCTGTCTGTGTTCCACAGGGTAGATCTTTAGTTTCTTCCCCTGTACCTTTCCTCTAATTCTACTCCTCTGAGTTTAGTACACTCTGACTCAGTGAACTGTTCAGAGCACCAAAATCCCTAATTCAAATTGCCGTACCTAGTTTTTCAAGCACTAAGATGTTCGAGGAAATAGCATGGTAATTACTGATGAGACTCCATTTTGAATTGAATCTTTTTTAATGTAGACGTTTATTGCTGTAAATTTGCCTCTGAGTACTTGGTATTCTCAAAAGTTTTGATATGTTGTGTTTTTATTTCCATTTGATTCTAGGAATTTTTTAATTTCTTCTATGATCCAGTTGTTTTTTAGTAAAAATGTTTAATTTCCATGCACTTACTTATTTTTTCCTGTTGTTGATTTCTGGCTTTATGCTTTTATGATCAGAGAATATGCTTTGTATGATTTCAGTCTTTTTAAATTTTTTGAGACTTGTTTCTATCCTAAGAAGTAGTCTATTCCAAAAAATGATACATGTGTGCTGGAGAAGAATGTGCATTGTTCTGATGCTCGATGGAGTGCTGTATATATTTCCATTGAGTCCTGCTGGATTATGGTTTTACTTAAGTTCTTTTCCTTTTTTTTTTTTTTTGTAGATGATTTTTTTCTTCTTTTTATATGTTTTATTATTGAAAGTGATGTGTTGAAATCCCCTACCATTATTGTGAAGTCATCTACTTCTCCTTTCATATTAGTCAGTGTTCGTTTCATGTATTTTGGTACAGTGGAGTTAGGTGCATAGATACTTATAATTGTTATGTCTGCTTGTTGGATTCACCCTTTTATTATTTATTATGTAATGTCTTTCTGTCTTGTAATAGATTTTGATTTAAATTCTATTTTATCTGATATCATACAGCACCCCCTGCTTTTTTTTGTTTACTGGATACATAGGATATGTTTCTCTATCCCTTTATTTTAAGTCTATTTGTGTCCTTTTGTCTAAAGTGTATTTCTTGTAGACAGCAAAAAGATGGATCATGGTTTTCTTTTTCTTTTTTAAATCCATTCAGCCTTTTGCATGGAGCATTTAGACCATTTACATTATTTAGGGTTATTACTAAAAGTGAAATGTCTACTTCACTCATTTTGCTATTTATTTTTGATGTTTATATCTTTCTTTTTTATTACTCTGGTTTTTAATTTTGTTTAGCTGCTTTCTTGTGATGAGCCTTTTTTTCTAACTTCCCTTTTTTTTTGTCTTCTGAATGTTTCTTTTGGTGATTTCTTGATGGTTACTACTGCGCCATCTTCTTTCACTCTCTTCCAATTGTGTGGCCCACGAACTTTCATGACTACCTGCTTAAGGTAGTCATGCCTTCAGGAAAAAAAATGAATCATGCTACAGCTTCTTAGATTAGCTTCTTTTCTGTATTTCCTGTTTGGGATGTTACCCAGCTCTGTTCCAAAATGACTGTGATGAGTGAGGTGAGCGTTCCAGATGTTAGAGGGTAGATTCTCGTAGTTTCTGTGCCTTCTCTATTCTCTTCTGTCCCACTTCTGGACTCACCCTGACTGATCTCAGCTGCTGTCCAGAGTTTTGAGATCTCAGTCTGTTTGTTTTTATTCATTCCTCAGTGAGTTAGTTGCTGGGGAAGGAAATGGAATCTCCACTCCACTGTCTTTGTCCACCTTTAGAAGAGTGTTTTCCTTGGATTACAAAGTTATGTTGCTAATTCTGTCTTTAAGTTGAATTTGTACATAAGTGGGAACAATTAGGTACAGTTTATACCTAATATCAGTCAAATGTATGTCTTGGTATATAGGATGTAGTGTACCTTTCTATGTTTAGAAAAAAAATTAAATACTTCTAGATGCACTAAAGTATCTTTAATATAATTAATAGAGTAATAATAAAGTTTTGATGTAAATCACAAGTAATGCCTGTTCCTATGAACCATAGTATGTACCTCAAGTTTTTAATATAATAATAGGCTTTACTGGGTTGGTTTGTGACTATGGGTTGTACATGAATAAAATTTACATAATCTTTAAGAGAGTTTGTAACTTGGGTACTGCCTGTATCTTCGTTTTTTTTTTTTTTTTATTATTATTATACTGATTATTTTTATCTCTTCCATTTGTTGTAGAACCTTTAAAATGCAGACTTCCAGCTCTAGATCTGTGCACCTGAGTGAATGGCAGAGGAATTACTTCACAATTACATCTGGCATATGCTCATCAGGACAAAAGGCAGATGCATACCGTGCACAGATGCTGCGCATTCAATATGCATGGGCAAACTCAGAGATCTCCCAGATCTATGCTACCCAATTGTTCAAAAAATATGTGGAGAAATATTCTACAATTATTGATTCTGACAATGTTGAAACTGGCTTGAATAACTATGCAGAAAACGTTTTAACTTTGGCAACATCTCAGCAAACTGACAGTGACAAATGGCAGTCAGGATTGACAATAAGTAATGTTTTCAAAATGACTAATGTACAGGAAATGATACAAGCTGGCAAAAAATTCCAAGACTCTCTATTAGCACGTGGTGATGCATCAGTAGTGATCCATAAGGAGACCAGCGTCTTTGATTTTCCAAAATTTAGTGTGAATGTTTCTAGAGAGAATAAACTTTCAGGTAACTCAAGTCATGGTGCAGATAGGATACAAGACACCCCAGAGAACACATCTTATTCAAAGTGTCCTCAGAATGCCCAGACACCTATGGTGACTAACCCTACTAAAACTTGTCCTACATTCTCAATGCCTTTAGGTGAGTCAGCCACTGCAAAATTCCATGCCACACCATTATTTGGAAATGTAAAAAAGGAAAATCATAGCTCTCCAAAAGCCAACATGGGACTAAATATGTTCTCATCTAATCAGGTTTGTTTTCCTTCTGGCTATGAAAATCCATTAGAAAGAAAGTCTTTCTATGGTGTTGGTACCAGTTATATTGATGCACTTTCCAGTCCAATACTGAATAAGGCTTTTAGTAAAATGGAAGATAATTGCCAAAGGGAGGAGAGCAGCTTGCCTACTTTTAGAACTGCCAAAGAACAGCTATGGGTAGAGCAGCAGAAAAAGTGCCAGCAACCCCAGCGGGCATCAGGGTCTTCATATGGTAGTGTGAAAAAGTCTCTGGGAGCTAGTAGATCTCGAGGAATATTTGGAAAATTTGTTCCTCCTGTACCTAAGCAAGATGGGGAAGATCAGAATGGTGGAATGCAATATAAACCTAATGGGGCAGGGCCTTCAGAACCAGTACATCCAATTGATGAGCGTTTGAAGAACTTGGAGCCGAAGATGATTGAACTTATTATGAATGAAATTATGGATCATGGACCTCCAGTAAATTGGGAAGATATAGCAGGTGTAGAATTTGCCAAAACCACAATAAAGGAGATAGTTGTGTGGCCCATGTTGAGGCCAGACATATTTACTGGCTTACGGGGACCTCCTAAAGGAATTCTGCTCTTCGGTCCTCCTGGGACTGGTAAAACTCTAATTGGCAAGTGTATTGCGAGTCAGTCTGGGGCAACATTCTTTAGCATTTCCGCTTCATCTTTGACTTCTAAATGGGTAGGTGAGGGGGAGAAAATGGTCCGTGCATTGTTTGCTGTTGCGAGGTGTCAGCAACCAGCTGTGATATTTATTGATGAAATTGATTCCCTATTATCTCAACGAGGAGATGGTGAGCATGAATCTTCTCGAAGGATTAAAACCGAGTTTTTAGTTCAGTTAGATGGAGCAACCACATCCTCTGAAGATCGGATTCTAGTGGTGGGAGCAACCAATCGGCCACAAGAAATTGATGAGGCTGCCCGGAGAAGACTGGTAAAGAGGCTTTATATTCCCCTCCCAGAAGCTTCAGCTAGAAAGCAGATAGTATTCAGACTGATGTCCAAGGAGCAGTGCTGTCTCAAAGAAGAGGAGATTGAACTGATTGTACAGCAATCTGATGGATTCTCTGGGGCAGACATGACACAGCTTTGCAGAGAAGCTTCTTTGGGTCCTATTCGCAGTTTACAAACTGCTGACATTGTCACAATAACACCTGATCAAGTTCGACCAATAGCTTATATTGATTTTGAAAATGCTTTTAGAACTGTGCGACCCAGTGTGTCTCCAAAAGATTTAGAGCTTTATGAAAACTGGAATAAAACTTTTGGTTGTGGAAAGTAAATGGTACACTTACAGTTAAAAGGTGGCGTCTTTCTAGTAAAATCTTTTTCATTTTTTAATAGGATACTGGGAATTTATTAATTGCATCTTTTAGTGTATAGTCTGAATTCTGTACCTCAAAAAAGTAGAGTCATAGCTTATGTTTTATAGATGATTGACATAGCCTATATTAATATGTTTTATTTGCCTTCTAGCTGTTACCTGATGTGCAAACCTATTTATACAAAATGTCTTTTGTTTCCAAGAAATATTTGTTTGAAGATGTCTAATATGAGGATTAATGAGCTCAAATGGATTCTTTTTTTTAAATACAAAGTTTGCATATGTGTATGAGGAAGTTTGCAATTTATATTCATCTTTTATTTAAGAAAGAGTTCTTTTTTAAGAGGTATTAACTCTTAATGTTAGCTAGTATACTGGTTTAAATTAAAAACTTAGTATTTCTTACTGTTCAGGTAGACCTAAAATCTCACCAAAAATTATAGTGTGCCAATTTTTACTTTTGTTGGGTTGTGGTATCTTTTTCAGTTTTATTCTCTTAACTGGACTAATAAAAATATATTCAGAAATAGCAAAGTATAATCTAATATCAGAGATATATCCACAGAACTAAAAAGTGAAGAATGTGTTGTATTTTTTCAGGAGGTATATGATATTTAAAATTAATACTTTGTCACTATTTTTTCACAGCCTGTGTAGTACTGCTCTCTTTCAAGAGTAAATGGTTTCAGATTTTTATAGTAGACCAATTTCTTTTATAAATAATACATTTTCATTTCAGGAACATTAGAAAGTAGAGATAAGTGAAAAGAAGAGAATAAAAATCACTTTGAAGGGGAAACAATATCAACATTTCAGTATATAGTCTTCCAGATGTTTTCTTTTACAAAAAGTGGAATTGTACTATGTATTTTCTTGTATAATGTACTTTTTCTTTTAAAGTGCATCATCATCATTTCCTTTGTTAACTGATACTTGTACATCATCTCCCATTTATATTATTGCCTAGAGTTTAATTGCATAGATATATTATAATTTATGTAATCTTCTGTTAGGGGATATTTAAGACAGTACATTAGATTGTTTTTTATCTTTTATTTATTGTAAACAAAAATATGTTGAATGCTATTGTGGTTAATTCTTTGAGAGAGGTTTTTTTGTAACATAATTTTCCTGAATAAAATTCTTAAAGCGTATGCACATATTTAAGACTTTTGGCATGTGTTCTAAATTATCCTCTAGGGTAGTTCCAGGAGTCCCTGCATGGTGCAACCAGTTAATGTGCTTGGCTGCTAATCGAAAGGTAAGAGAAGCACTTAGACGAAAGGCCTGGTCTAATTCTGAAAACACACCCATTGAAAACCCTATGGAGAATAGTTCTGCTTTGACACACATGAGTCAGAATCAACTTGATGGCAACTGGATTGGTTATTACATTGCCACCTGCACTGAAACAAAGTGCCTGTTTACTGATACCATGCCATCATTAGGCATTTTGCAGCTTTTGTTTTTGTTTGTGTTTGTTAGTATTCTCTTTACATTCTTTCATTTGACAAATATATTGAGTGCCAGGCAGTGTTCTTGGTACTTAAGCTAGTAGAACAATGAACAACATAGGAAAAAATCCTTGCTCTCATGTAAGTTACATTGAAGTTCTGTTGTTTCTTATGTGAGCAATACAGTTTAAAAAGACAGAAATTGAAACTTCTGTTAATAGATGAATTTAGATTGTTTATATTATTTAGGTTTTTATTCTTGATCTAACTTCTGTTTATACTATTTTAAAGGATTTATTATAATTTTCAGTTTTTTCCTTTGAATGTATGATTGGCTTTTATTAGAGTTTGGATGTTAAACACATTTTCAGTTTTTAAAATTTTAAACCATTTCATAATATTCTTCATTATTATCTTTGTCCATTTCTGTATAAATAACATTAACTGTGGATTCCCAGATACTGCTGTCAAGGAGTTCTCTGCAGTTTTTCTTTCCTGATATTAATTTCCTTTATAGATCAACCCTGACTCTTTGGATATTATAATTACCTTAGTTACTCAGATTTATGAGCAATTAATTGTCTAGGTATTAGTGTTTTATTTAACTTGATCTTAATGTTTATTATCGTTTTTTTTTTTTTTTTTTTTTAATGGCTCCTTCTTTCAGTCCTATTTTTAGCTCCAGTAACCACCAACCACAGGGCTGCTTCCCTTTGTCTAGGTTATGTGGATTATATCCAAAAGAGAAAATCTGATTTAATTCATCTTGGATTAGGTATAGTCCCATGTGTCTGGTTAGCCTTTCAAATTAAGGTTACTCAAACCAAACTGGCTGCCATCAAGTCTGATTCTGACTCCCCCATCAGATTTCCAAGGCTTAAATCTTTTCAGAAGCACATTGCCCCATCTTTCTTCCATGTGAAATTAAGTTGAGGTCAGTTCTATTCAGATGAGAAGGTAAACCTGAAAAGAATAATTGGGTAAGGTATTTACAGCTGGAAATAAAATTTGAGTCTGGGAGTCACCTGACAGTTGTTTCTACATTGCACCAAATAGAAAAGTCCTTTTAGCCCTTAATGATTTGCAATATGTTTCTGAGGCAATTGGTAGAATATTTCTTCTGTTTGAGATGCTTTTGTTATGAATGTTATCTTGATTGGCTAAGATAATGTTGGAGTAAATCCTTTCCTCCTGATTGTTTTGTTGGTGCTATACTGTCTCCAGCCATTGTTTATTTCAGAGAAGTGAAAGCTGGACTGATTTTAATATCTTTCAAAGTTGTATTTCCTTTGTAGAGTTATATAACAGAGCATGCAACTTACTTGTGATATTTATGCTTAAAAATTTTGGTAGGAATACAGTCAGTTACCCGAACTTACTATCTACTATCAGGCCTTTGAAAATATTTCTATATATTTTCATCTTGCATCATACCAGGGAAGTTCTATTCCAACAAATCTTGGACAATTTTCTCAGTGGTTTTATCTTTCTCTTCCTGTTCTGGAATTCCAATTACACATAGGTTATTCGTTTTGATGATTTCTCACATGAATCTTAGGCTTTCTTCATTTTGTTTTGATCTTTTTTTTTTTTTTTTCTGATTGAGCCCTTTCCAAAGAAGTATTCAAGTATTTGTCTTCAATCTCATTAATTCTGTCTTCCCTTGATTTGATTCTACTCCTTTGCCCTTTCACTGTGTTACCTATTTCTGAAAATTTAGTATTAATCTTTTGGATTTCTGTCTGTAGATTTTGTATCATTTCTAATTTTTCATTTATATTGTCATTTTATTTTGTATTTTCTTGCAAAATTTTTCTAGGGTTTTGTCTGTGTTTCCCTTAATTTTGTCCATGTTTTACTTGATCTGTCTCTCAATCTGTTGAAGATACCTAAGTATAATTTTGAATTCCTTATCAGGGAGTTCCAGTCCTACTGTTTCCTCAGGGATGTGTTCTGGGTCTGTATCCTGCTCCCTTGTTTCTACTGCTTTATCTTGCTTCTTTTTGTGGACTGTGATGGTCTGTTGTCTCTGAGACGTTGTGACATTGTTGTATTTATATTTAATTGGTGATTGCATGTTCACCAATTAAATATGATTTAATTGTATGTTGGAGTGATTCACCCAAGATTTTCGTGGTGGTTTTATTTTATTTTATTTTTTTTGGTATGTATCTGAATAAGCAGAGTACTGAGCTCCTCTATTCACTAGTTGGCAGCACTTACACACTCACCACCTGTCTCTTGGTGGGTGTGAGAGAGAATGAAAGTGGCTGTATAGATCTCTGTTAATTGTGAAGAGCAGTTAAGGGTGAGTTAGGCTTTTATTGATGGTTGTGTATCATTGGTCAGTTGGTGCAGAAGGAGGTGGTGGCTCTCACTCAGTAAGTGGAGCTGCAGGAGGTGTGGATGTGGTTTTGTCATATGGGCATGGTTGCTGTCTCCCAGTCAGACAAAAACAACAATCAAAAAAAAACATCAAAAAATCAAGAGGACAAAAAACAAACAGTGCATAAACACCAGGAACAATCACCAAAAAGAGAAAAAAGAAAAGAAAAAAAAAAGGCAATAAGTGAGAGAAAATATTTAAAGACATACTTAAAAAAAAAAAAAAAAAAGCCAAAAGAAATATGCATAGAAAAGGGGGAAAAAAAAACCCTGCAATATATGGAGAGGGGACTAAGAGAAAAGAGGGAGAGTAGGAGAATAATGAAAAAAATTGGAAAAATGTAAAAGCAAAAACAAGGAGTAGGGAGAATCACACACAAAAAAGATGGAAACCAGGAACAGGGAAGAGAAAAAGCTGAAAACTAGAACCTGGGAAGAAGAAAGAAGAGTAATTAAAAGGATGAAAAAAATTTAATAATTAAGTAGAGCCTAGTCTTAGATCCCTGGAATCTGAGAGAATGCTGTCGCTTTAAATATCCAAAATGGTCTAACTGCTTGTAAACATTAAAAATGGCTACACCCTTCAGATAGCCAGAAGTCCACGGCTCAGCTCGACTCCCTTTTTGTTGCTTTCCCTTTTATTCATCAGCCACCAGTGCAGTCCTCTGTGCAGCCCCTGGCTAGCAGGCCCAATTTTTAGATTAATTCTTAGGTCCTTGCACCACTTGGCAATATCCAAGCTGTCTGCCGTCAGGTTTGCTAACAGTCTGCAGCTCTGTGTATCTCCTTTTTTGGTGTTTTCATGCAGGTTCTTCTCTAGTTGGAGTTTAGTCCACTTCTGTATCCTTCTTTTCAAAGCTCAGTGGTCCAGGATTATCTTCTGTATCTGTGTTACTTGGTTCCCCTTTTCTTTGTTGAAGAAGGTCTGTGTAGTTGTCTGCCTATTTTGCCATTTTACTGGAACTCTCTGATGAAAATATTTCTGTTACACATCTAATTGTAACCTATAGTCCTTTTGATTTGTATTCTGTGGGAATTCTATTCCAAACCTATAGTCTTCTCTCCTATTCTTTTGGTATTTTATTTTCTCAATTTAAAATATTTCACAAGCCTGCCTTCCACATTTACTGGTTGATGTTGTTGTTGTTGTTGTTGTTGTTGTTATGTGCCCTTGAGTCGAACCCGACTCATAGTGACCCCTCCTTGGGTTTCCAAGGCAGTATCACTATGGAAGTAG